CGGGAGATAGCGGTAAGACACATATTGGTTCCTGAAAGACACAAAAAGTGTGTGTTTTCAGTTAGGGCTTCATTTTCAGGGTTGTTGTACCTGTTAGAAGAACTTTAGAGAAGGACAAATTAGACCATCTAAACTCGTATCCATGAAAAAATCTGTTGACTAAAAGAAGGTACTGAACTGTCCATATAAGGATTGATTGCAGTTATTTACATTTATTGATTGTAAATTAAGCTCACCACTGGTTTTTAATGTAGGAGATGTCTCGGTGACATATCTTAAGGTAACTGAGAAGCCCATCAAACATTTGGCGTTGTGTACTGAGTCATCACTAACGATGGGTTGGGGACAGTGAAATTAGTTAAATTTGTGTTCCCTGTTGAGTAAAACCCAACATACTAGGTTTATTTTTCCTGAAACTTGAGAATCCCACATTTCAAAGTGGTGTTATCAGTTCTGATGTATCTTTGTGTTCCCCTCTCCCTCTGCACCCGCCTCAAGGATAAAGAAAAGCGGGGGTTTTATCACCTGGAATAGTCTGGGACAGCCAAACGTCAACGGCAGGTTGGCCATGACCCGCAGCATTGGAGACTTTGACCTGAAGAACATGGGGGTCATCGCTGAGCCTGAGACCAAGAGAGTAACGGTAGGATTATACATTTAGGACTTAAAGACACTGTCTAATTTAGGTATTTTAGGATTTGATTTGTGTTCTCTGCAGTTCAGTGCTACATGGCGGAAAAAAAGAGTTAGAATTGTTGCTAAACATTGCTTTCTTTTCTTCAGTTGCACCATGCCCACGACTCGTTCCTGGCGCTGACCACAGACGGCATTAACTTCATTATGAATAGCCAAGAGATCTGCAACGTCATCAACCAGTGCCACGACCCCAAGGAGGCAGCTCAGAGAATATCTGACCAGGTAAGACGTTTATCGTTGGCTTTTAATACGCCCACAGTGAAACCACACGCTGTATGTAAAGTAGGACACTTTTGTGGTTTGAATGGCTGTGTGTTTATGCATCGTCGAGTGCATTTGGGTGGTTGTTCATTGGGAGGCAGACAGACATATTCATTGAAATAAATGCTTCCATAAACGATGTCCACGTGGATGAGCCTTTAGTCACACACATCAGCTTATAACCAGATTAACTTGTAGCATGTACGCTGTTGAAAGTCTTTCAGAAAATACTTACTAATAATCTACACCAAGGCAGTATTGTGTACAAGCACTCTGCTCTGTAGCTTATGAATACACACCACTCATTTTAAGTATTATTCCTACGTTTTTGTTCCTTAAAGGATAAGAAAATGGTGTGCAGTAGCCATCGATGTTCTGTATTTTGAATCAGTCGCAACGTTGAAAGCAACTGCGTTCTGTCTGTTAGCACCTTAAACCTAATATATATATATTTTCACACCTATCTCTCACATTGTGTTTTGCGCCATTGCCTCAACAAAGCATCTTTCACTCCCAGTACGCGTTTCTGTAATGAACTGGTGGACAATCTCCCCTCGCTCTGCCCCTTCAGTCTAGTGACAGTCACACATGCTCCGCTGAATAACACCTCCTCCACACACAGTTGACTTGCTGTTGTGAAAAAAGACAGACAGGGAGTGTGTGTGTGTGTGTGTGTGTGTGTGTGTGTGTGTGTGTGTGTGTGTGTGTGTGTGTGTGTGTGTGTGTGTGTGTGTGTGTGTGTGTGTGTGTGTGTGTGTGTGTGTGTGTGTGTGTGTGTGTGTGTGTGTGTGTGTGTGTGTGTGTGTGTGAGAGAGAGAGAGAGTCAGAGGTCAGAGTAGACGTGTGTAGAAAAGAGTACTGAAGGGAAAAGCAAGGTGAGCAGATTTAAAATAATTTTTAAATTGAGTAAATAAGATAACAATCTATTAAAAGGGGCCACTGTTTTGTTTTTTGTAATGTTCTAATGTTCTTCATAAAGGAGTATATGTTGAAGTTCATGGGATTGTTTTGTTCTTGTTTTTTAACGTGGTATTGAATTGGATATGGAGCATTATTGAATTTTCCTGGTATTGGTATCACCTACTAAATATATCCCTAGCTCCAGTATAGCCTGAATTAAATGGAAATAGGCCACCATAAAGTGTAGGTGTATGCATCATGGTTCTCTGTGTCAGAAGAGCTCAGCAAGCAAATGGCCAGTAAGCAGGCCTTTTATATACATACTGTATGTTAATGTCCTCTCCTCTCTCTCTCTCAGGCTCTTCAGTATGGCTCAGAGGACAACAGCACAATCATCGTGGTGCCGTTCGGTGCTTGGGGAAAGCACGAAAGTTCAGACTCAAGTTTCTCCTTCAGCAGAAGTTTTGTGTCCAGCGGTCGCTGGGCGTAGTCAGTGGGGTGTCGGATGAAAAGGTGTGGTCTCCGGACCTTATTATTGTGTGCAATACAATCAAACGATGGTGTCCTTGTGGAAACATTATAAAGAGTGTGGTTCTGTTTGCCCAAACAATAATACCTAAGTTACAACGTGTTATTTAGAGTAGCATGATATTTATTAGCCTCTGTGGCGTAAGAGGCAGTGAATTCATGACGTTGCACTAAAAGAAAAACATCCTCTTTATACAAGGTTTTATCTATTAGCAAGCCAATGACCTTAGAGGTGCTAAAAGCTGAGAAGTGTTTGAATGGCAGACAGGAGTTCATGATGACCTGCAGCCCGTCACTCAGCGAATATGTAGACTTCTCTACGTTAGCTAAGATTTTAAGACTTTGTGCCTGTCTGCCATTCAGTTCATTTTTTATCTTTTTAGCTGTTCATAATACCCAAGTTTGCACTTTTTTTATTTTCATGGTTAACTTGAATAAGTTGCATTTAAAAAGAAAAAAATAAGAAAAGTGCATCTCGATTTTACCAGTTTAATTTCTCAGCGATAACCGTAGAATGACACGCAGAGAAGTAAGTGGGAAGGTATAATAATTGAACTAATTTGCCATTCGATTGGAATTAATTGAGCCCTTGAATGAGAATACATACTTAAAGCAACTTCTGAAGCAACTGGAATATAAATATCATGGCCAAAGTAAGTCTTAATGACTATATGTCTGTTCTGGAGTCTCCTTCTCAGTTTGTGTATCTAAATTAGACGATACAGAAATATTAACAGTTTAATCTTTGAAACTGATTTATCCCCGACTGCCCCATAAACAATGTTTTTAACACTTGTTGTACTTAACTGAAGCTCCATTGAAAAGCATAGATTGCCCAATTGCACAATCTTTGGGAGAAACATGAACAAAACCCTGAATGTTCTGTGTTCTAGTGAACTAGTGTGAATGGAGTTGCCTAATGCTGTTTTATATCAACAGCATTTCAGTGGCTGAGTCTTGACGTGTTTAAAAAAAATAAGGTATTCATTTTTCTGGCAATTTAAACATTGCTCACGCTCGTATAAGTGTTTATATCTGTGCTGATTTGAAACAGGTCTTGTTACGGCACAGAGAAGTGTTCAGGGTACACAAATGTATAGTGTATGTTTTGTAAATAATTCTATTTATGTACATCTGGAAAACTGATAGTTCTCTGTTGCATAACTCGTCTAAACAGAATATTTCACACGCAGGAACTTTGCCTAGGTGCTTGCTTGTATCGTGTGTGTGTGTGTGTACACCATTTTGAGTGTAACTCTGTTACAATCAGTAATTCCTCATTTTTAGGCCATTTGAGTGTCACTCAGAAAGAGCGAAAGCACACTTAATGCAACACTAAAGAACTGTTCAGCTAAGAGCCATGTAGGACAATGTGAATGTTTGCTTTAATGCCCTCCATGACTAACGAATACAATCAAAACCCTGTTGGGTTATAGGAGTAATTAAGCTGTATGAGTTGTCTTGGCTGACCCTAATGTGAGTGGATTTATTTCCAGGCAGATTTAAACCATAAGATCGTGCCGTTATGGTTCACTGTTGGATCTTTTTGTTTTGTGGTTGTTGAAGCTAGACAAATGCAAAACTTCATATTTATCAGCATTGTTCCGTTTTGTGAGACTTCTGTCATTATTTTACCACTTACATATGTTTTGTAAATAACTGTTTTCCTCCTTCGTTCGCATATTGAATGAAACCTTGATTTATTGTAAGGACTTTGTCTTTATAACATACTCATTACAAGCCTCCTCGCCTGTTAAAGTCATCTATCAGACTGTGTTCAGTTTTTATTTACTGTATTCTGTTTTACTACCGTTCAAATATAATCATTGCAGCTGTGGATCTGTACCTGGGACCTAAATGTGACTGTTTGAACTACACTCTGTTTGTACTGTATTTTTGGTCTGAATGGCTTGTGAGACACTTCAATTAAAAACTATACACCAAAACTGATGTTGTCTTTGTTGAATATGTTGTTAGAACAGTTCAATGTTTACTGTATTATGTCACAATCATAAAACCACAATAGAGATTTTTTTTACACTGACATAATGTAGCTGCAGTATGTCCCATGATTGAAACAGAGGGTGAGGCAAAAAAAATTACCTGTATGTAATCATAATTAAAAACATAATTAAAAAAAAAATATCTAAAAGTTTTAATCTGACCTTTTTATTTTAAACATAATTAAACTGTTTCTGGCTAACTGACAACTCCTGCTACTTGTGTTGCTAGGCAACGTCTAGCTAAGGAAAGGGTCAGGCCAAAGCCACTTAAAGTTAGATTATTATTGGCTTTGGGTAAAGCTACTTTTTTTTATAACTTTTCACTTAGTTTTTAACCTGAAAGAACCTGATAGCCATTGATATTTAAATAAATTGTGTACTTCTGAAAACTTGCTTAACTTGTGTATACTGCAGATTTATTTTAAAGGTGTGTTCTGCTCTAACGTGCAATACTAATGCAACAAAAAAAAAATGCAAACTTGGATAAATTGTAGCAAGTTTCACAAGTCTTCTACTGGATTTTCACACTGGACAGAAATGAGTGGAAACCAGCGTGAAAGGAGTGAAAATAAGTCTCCATTTCAATCATTCATGTCTTCTTTAGGTGGTACGTAAAGGGTTAAGCCCCCTGGCAGCTTGGTGGGATCCCAGCTGAGTGTGTGGCTGGATGGTGAGGCACCTGTCCCCTGCTGTCATGAGCTGATGTTAGTCAGCCTGCGCAGTCTGTCTGCTCTGTCAGTCTGCAGCAGCAGCGCTCCTGAAGGCTGCAGCGGGACCCCAACCAACAGCGTTCTCACAGTCTCACAGCCCGGTAAGTCCCTGCAACAAACCTTTACTTTACTCTGCAACAACACTGATGGCCTCTGATCTTTTTTTTACTTGGTTTGTCTGATTAGGAAGCAATGAGAAATTGTTCTTTAAAATGTCCTGATTTACTAAAAAAAGATTTAAATCCAAAACTGTGGCACATGTTAAAATAAAGTAGTGTGAGAGTCAGTGCTGTAGTCAGGAGTTTAAGATAGTCATGTGTGCTGTGTGTGTGTGTTTTTTTTTTTTTTTTATGGATAAGATTAAATTTGTCTGGTTTGGTGAGAAAATGAATAACCAGTTCCCAGTCACAGGGTAATATTTGACTTAATTTCTTGACACTTTTCTCTAGAACATATTAAAGCTGTAGAAAGAAAAAGGGTAAAAGTTACTGAAACCCATGCATGAAGTAAAGAAAGCAGCCACCTTAAAACAAAGTTGAACTTGAGGTACATTCAGGACATTATATGTTGTCAATTTCATTTTACAAATATGACGTCTGTGGTCATTTTATTTAAATGATTATATAAAGGACCATATATGCCATAGAAGCTAATAAAACTGAAGCCCAATGTTTGAAAATGTACCGTTATGTCCTCAAAGTTGTAAGTAAGTTTTAACCAGTTTTAAGTTTTTACCAAGTAAATTTGGTAATAGATAAATCAAAACCCTCCGTCCCCCTTAATATCCAACACGTGATCTCACTGTCCTCAGATGTAGCATAGGACCTGGTGACCATGATGTCGATTAATTAAATTAATAAATGTAAACACACATTATTCATAAACACTGGGCCTTTAATAAGGAGAATAAAAAGATGAGGCCACAGCATTGTACTGAGGAATTGGAGTCATCGTCTGAGTATAGTAGTCATATTCGGAATAATAAAGTAGTTTTTATTGTTATTATTTATTTGTGTATGTTTTAATTTATGAGACTTTATGAGGAAGTCTTTAAACCAGCAGAAAATATATTCTATTTTAAAACAAACTATAGACTCGAACTTTCTATATTTTATACAAAAAGAGTTCAGTTTCCCCACGTTTGTCTTGTTTTCTAATCGCCCTGTTTGTGTTAAACATCACTATATTTCTGTTGTGTGATGACGAGCTGCTTTTTTTTACTGGTCTGTCCTCTTACTATTAAGAAATTGGAGCTGTTGAATTCCTGGGACATAAATACGATTGAGGATGTAACATTTAAAGATGCTAGACGGTCTTTTTTCTGACTTTAGGGATAACATTTGGATGTACGCTTGTTAAATATTATTTAGATAAGATAAGTTTCAGGTTATACGGTAGGGATTTAAATTTTCAGCATCCTGTGTTGGTTCCTGGAATATTGTACAGGCATACAGAGACACCACTGCTTTGACACTTTCATTTAAATTGATTAATGAACATTGATGGGTCTTCAGTACAATAAGTAGTGTTACCAAAGGTAGACGTATTTTTAACCTTCCTCCACTTAAGAAGACACGTGTATGTCCATTGTATCTGCCCAGCATCAACTAATTAGTACAAACTGTCCTAAACAGCAGCCACGCATATAGTCCATGAGATATTTTAATATTGAATTTTAATTAATAAAGAGACACATTCCTTACTTTTTTCTGCATTTTTGTGTATCACTTCGGTATGTAACAAATCAGTAAATGCGAAAAAGAGCTAAAACACAAAATTTGTATGTCTATTTTTTTAGTTTATTAGTTTGTTTTTCAATTAATAATTCATTGTTTGTTTGGTATTCTCTTCAGCTATATTGAATCTGTTGTTGATGTTTGTTGTTCCATGAAATATTCATGAAAAGTTACATAAGTAAAATGCTCAGATGTTTATTTACTAATTGATGTAATCTATAAAATGTACATCACCAAAAAAAAAGTTTAATATTGATTTCTATCTATTTATATCACTGTCATTTGACGGGGCGGTTGCTGCAGAGGATGATGGAGAGAGCCAACCACATCAACATTGCAATGATAGAAGATATCGGCAACACCAACGGGACAGCCAGGTCAAAGGTCGTCACGGCCATGGACCAGAACAAGCAGCCGTGTGGCTCCACCGTGAGCTTCCACAACATCCAGTACAAAGTGCAGCTGAAGAGCGGATTCCTCTGCAAAAGGAAAACCAGTGCCAGGGAAATACTGGTCGACCTCAAGTCAGTTGAAATTGAACACAATATTGTCTGTTTTGCGTCTTTGTCAGTTGTATCACACATAGAAATGCTGCAAATGTTACATGGAGAGTCATAGGCTTTTGAACTGTGGCACATTTAGTTGTTTTCTCTTCTCATTCACTCAGCGTAAGTTCAGTAGAAGCTCTGTTATCTTTTATTATGAGCTTTTTGTTAGAGAACAAGACTAAAAACTATCACAAATCTGGTGATTATTGGTGTGTTGACTTGCAGAAACACATTTTGGCGTGACATAACAATGAACTGCAGTAATTCCTTTGAGTCCCTGAATTTGTGGGACCCTGTTACAGTCAAAGAGCGGCGGTTCTTCATGTGGATTCAGTACGGCTCATTGTATCCTTATCCAAAGCGGAACAATAGTGAATGGACTCTTACGTTGATTTCTTTCTGATGGTATTAAACACAGCTGACATTTCCCATGGAAGAATGAATCATTTCACACAAGTTTTTGGGCCTTTTCCCGCCTCAGTGTTAATTATATGATATTAAGCATGGTTTCTTGCATATAATCTCTCTGATGCGGTAAAGAGCAGTCTGCCAGGGAAAGAATTAAACACTGTCACGTGATCCACTGCCAGGCTTTTATTCAGTCTTTTTCTGGTGCTTTTGTAACTGTTCTCTCTGATGTCAAAGGATTTGCTCTTGAATTATTCATTTTTTTTAAACCACAGTATAGATAGTTTTTTTTTGTGTGCCGCTTTCAAAAAATGCTCATGAAACTCCACAATCCTTTCATGAACATTATTTTATTTGGTTTTAGGGAGAAAAATGTATGTAAAATAAAAAGTCTGATGAAGAAAAGGATTTAAGAATCACATTAATCCACTTTATTTCACACTCCTCACATTTCTACCGTAAGACTGGATCGGTGAAGATCATTATACACCTTAGAAATAAATGCAAGCTATTTGAACTATTTGAAGTCCAAGTCGTGCCTTAAAATAAACGTATCCATGTTAAATCGCTTACAGAGCGCTGTGTGTTGTTGTCTTGCAGTGGGATCATGAGACCTGGCCTCAACGCTATTCTTGGACCTACTGGAAGTGGAAAATCTTCGTGAGTATTACACTGATCTTCAAGAAAAAATAGTAGCCAGCATTTGTTGTTGTAGATATATTTAAGTATTGTTTTGTTTTCGTTGACAGATTCTTGGATATTCTGGCTGCAAGGAAGGATCCTTCTGGTCTCTCAGGAGAAGTCCTCATTGACAGAGCGCCACAGCCTCCAAACTTCAAGTGCCTCTCTGGCTATGTAGTTCAGGTACATATGAATTATTTTTATTACCTAAACCTGCATAAGCTGGTTTGTTTGTCGACTTACCCAATGGAAGCACAACACTGATATATGTTTTACCTTTAATTGCGATGTGGCAAACAGTTGCAACAACGTTATGTTCAATTTACAGTCTTGTTTGCATCCACTTGAGAAATGTTATGTCTGATATTCACTTTCTGGTTCGGTCTCCACTAACTCTTGTTTACCAGCTAGTTGTTAGCTTTGTCTGTTTGCTGTTTGGTGCTGGGCAGGTAGTGTGCAGTGGGTTTATCAGAGCTTTTTCACAAAATACTGCTGTGGCTGGAAACAACGCTAAAGAGAGAGTGAATCAAAACTTAAGTAAAGTAAAGTTTTGGGCCTTAGAACCAGAACAAATTGGCTTAAAGACACCAAAAAGCTCCATAAGGCTGAGGAACTTAGAAGTTGGGTGATCCCTTTTTAATATAAAATGTTGATTATAACAGCTTTAAATACAGAGTTTTCTAGTTTCTACACACTATTAGGTCAACATCTCTGCATTACAGGTGTGTGGAAATGTCTATTTGACCTCGAGCTCTCGTCTCCCTTCCTAGGAAGACGTGGTCATGGGCACCCTGACTGTGAGGGAGAATCTGCGTTTTTCGGCAGCTCTGCGGCTGCCCAGCTGTGTGCCTCAGAGTGAGAAGGAGGCTCGAGTCAATCACCTCATTAAAGAACTGGGTCTCACCAAGGTGGCTGACTCCAAGGTAAATAAACACACACGTCCCAATTATATGTCTATTCTTGTGGTCTACCTCAAGCTTCATCTGGTGAGAGTCAGGACAGATTGATTGGTTCTTATGGGTGTTTTTCTCAGGTGGGCACACAGACGACGAGGGGAATCTCTGGAGGAGAGAGGAAGAGGACAAACATTGGCATGGAGCTGATTATTGATCCCTCGGTCCTCTTTCTGGATGAACCAACCACAGGACTGGATGCTAGCACTGCTAACTCTGTCCTGCTGTTACTGAAAAGGTAATAAAGAAGTTTTCTGCCATTCCTCTGATTTTATTAGGGATTATATTCTGAGTCTTCAGATTTGTGCGTGCCCCAATTCGTTTTTTGAATACATTTTAAATTAACATTTTAGCACATTTTAGGCTTATTTTAGTGCCAAAAAGTTGCTTTTAAAAGAAAATAGGACAACTTTGACCATTGTGATTAAGCTTACCTTCAGTACCCATGTACAAATATCAGTATTAAATGTAATTATACATTAAAATATACATTATTGGTGTATTTATGCAAACAAAGTACTAAAACTGTTTTTGATAAGTTGTTCTTTATGCATCCAAACTTGTGTGCCACTTCAGTGCAGTTAATTATAATGAGTTAATAAATTGATTCAAGTTTTAAAAAAGGTTTGAAAGATTTTAAACCACATATAGAAACATTATTTTGTTTTAAGTATTATTTGATATCAATGAAATTTGATTAAAATTGTTTTATGGTAAGAAGCCTACCACATTTAGTTTTACAATTAGAAGGAAGCTTTATTTTGTTTTCTATTAATATATATTTTTAATATGCGTCTTTTCAGAATGGCGAATCATGGAAGAACCATAATTATGTCCATCCACCAACCACGATACTCCATCTACAGACTGTTCGACACTCTGACTCTGCTGGTTGGTGGTAAAATGGTGTACCATGGACCAGCACCAAACGCTTTGGACTACTTCGCCAACATTGGTGAATATGTGGAAACTTATTATCACCACAAGATAACGTCTAACATCTTTATATTGTTCCTTTAATGTCACCTGGAAATCAGTGTGGATAGTTGAGCAACTTTATTCACATAAGGCTTTTAAAAAATTAGATAACATACAAAGCAACGTCTGAGTATAACATGTATTGATATCAAACATGGAGCATTGTGATCTGTGTTCCAGGCTATCCCTGTGAGCCACACAACAACCCAGCTGACTTCTTTCTGGATGTTATTAATGGAGACTCCACCGCCACGACCATGACCAAAGTGCACGGGTCTGAAGGTAACGGCATTTATGAACTGTTCCATGAATAATAATAATAATAATGATAATACTGCCAAGGTCATGTCTTCATTAATCTTCCATAGTAACAAGATGGATTTGTAAACATGTAAAAGCATTTTTTTTTTGTTAAAAAAGTTCAAATATAATATTTTAACCTCCCATTCCCATTTGAGGCTTTTCTAATGTTCTTAACGGTGTGCATGACATTAATCCTGTAGTGTGCAGGTAATGTAGTTATTGTAATTTTTCAAGGGTAACTATTTTTTTTTTTTTAAATTCAAAAGTAATTTTATTTAACAATTTAGCCTACAGGACAGAACAGCTCCAGATTGAGCTTCAGATCAATGTTTTTGATCACAAGAGTAAGAGAACTATTTACAGAACAAGTTTTATTTATATTTATATGTTATATACCAGGACAGATATTGACTCTGACGATACTCATAAAAAGCACATTATCTCTCCCGTATACTAATTCCTGCCCACTCAACACTGATAAAAGTCGTCTACTGCAGATTAAAGTATGCTCCACTCGTGGTGCTGGAGGGTGAGATGCAGTTAAAATCTATTCAGTGTTTACTTTTGTGTCAATAGATAATAGGACAGCCTTTATTTACTAATTCAGGAAGCATTTTAAGCCACTTTGATCATTAAGTAAAGTAAGTAAAGCTTTATTTAAAGCACATTTTAAAACACACACATATGCAAACCTATGCATATATACATATAAATGTGTACACACACAACCATAAAACAATAATTTACATACATAGGGAGCGTATAAATACAAACATATGGAAGATAAAACAAGAGGGAAAGAATAAATTAAAAAGAGAGACAACAGATAAGTGAACAAACAAGAAGAAGGATCTATAAAAAGATGGGTTCTGAAATCTGAGTGATTGGGAAAGACTTTTCCACAATGTTGGAGCTAAAACAGCAAAGGCACGATCATCTTTAGTTTTGCAGTTAGAGCGGGGAATGGATAAAAGCCCTAGATTTGAGGGGCAAAGTGACAAGGCCAGTTGAATTGTATAACACCTTTCAACAAGGTAATTTAAGTGCTTTACATAATACATAAAAAGCATTAAGACAAGATATAAAAGAAAAACAAGGCAATACAAAAAGACACATTCATTTGATTTTAAGAAAGAAGGTAAAATTGAAAAAACACATTAGACAGAACCATAAAAAATACAGTTCAAAGCAGAATCTGACAAGAAAGTCATAGCAGTATAATTCAGTTAGGTGCTGTTCAAACAGGCAAAGAATCAAACATGAAAGACCAACAAAAAAAAAAACACATTTATATGGTAAATATAAATGTGTCCACATGAGTTTTTTTCAATCCAATGCTTTATGGAATTATTGGAGTCTATCGTAGTAGAGTATTTCCAATACGTAAATAAACCATTTTCTTTCCGTGTGCATGGCCAGATTTGGACTTTGAGGAGCTCAGCAGCTCCAGGCAGAGCATCGAGGAGCGCCTGGTAGAGGAGTACAGGAACAGCAGCTACTCCAGTGACACTAGAGCTGAGCTGGACCGCATCGTCCAGGATAAGGAGTGTATCTTATGTCCAAAATCCCGCACCATCACCTACAACAGCTCCTTCTTCCACCAGCTACGTTGGGTGCTGAAGAGAACCTTTCAGAACCTCATGCTGAACCCACAAACATCAGTGGCTCAGGTACAGTAACACAGCCCCACTACTCATTTAAAATACAAACCCAAGTTAAGTTTCAAATCTGCAGCAGGAAAAATTAAAACAGCTACTCATTTATGTATTGGGTAGCTAATTTTAAAGTCTAATTGATCTATTCTGAATTTGGAGCTTTTTTATAATTTATGCTCACATGCTAATATTTCATGCATGTTTGGCGGTGCTCCAAAAGGCAAAAACTATGCACAGCACAGCTCTTTTTAAAAATATATATTGATTTGAGGTCAAGGATCCTCAAGTCAAAATTAAACAGAGCATTCAAAAAGTCTCAAGTCCTCATTTTTGTGACTCAGGTCCAAGTCACAGGTCTACATGTCTGACAGAAACCTCATTTACTTTTTAAGTTTTCTGTTTTTAGGTCAAATGTTTAAACATGATGATGTTCCACTAACACCTTTCCTTTGTTCAAACTCCAGAAAAAGTGAAAAGAGCAGAAAAATAATCAGTGTTAGTGCCGTTATCGTCATGAACAGGATGCGCAGACGGCACTTTCGAGGGGTCGAAACTTAATGCCCTCATTAGTCACCCCATGGCGGCAAAATGCTGTCAGAAGTCTCCTCACTTTAAGAATTATTAACAGCTAATTGGCCCTAAATAAGTCAAAATAATCCTACAAGAGGGGCTCTAGGTGGCGTGGGCGCCATAATCGGCTTTGGTGACTGTTGTGACCCCACTCTTGCCTCTTTGGGCCAGGATCTGAACTGATATCATATCTGCCCAAAGCCCCTTGGCCCCGGTCCGGGACTCATCACATGATGGCGTCATGACCTATCACTCCACTGCCCCGCTTTCACATGAGGGGCTGTGGGGAATGAGGTGAAAAAGGCTCAACCGTATTAGCTTATCCCTTCACCCTGGGAACCGCTTAGTTCTGTCATAATCTGTAAATTGTTAGGATTAAAACTTGTGTCGCTTTCACTTTTCTCACTCTTTTCTGTCATCTTCCCCCACCACTGGTTCAGGTTGTTCTCTCGGATAGGCCGGTCTGGAGGAGGAGCAGGTCGTCCACTTGACCCCTGATCCCCAGAACCATTGGCTTTTTTTTTTTTTGTCTAAGAGGACACTGCTCAAGTTTTATTTCCATTCTTCAGAAAGAATAACGATTGTGGTACCGAAGTACTACGCCAACATTTGCATTTTTCTTCCAAATAGCATCAGAGTCAAACCCTCCTCTACCATGAAGACAAAAATATATGAAAAGAGACCTTTGATCATCTCAGTTTCCTCATGATCTAAGTCTCACTTACAGGGTGCATGAAGGAGGGAAAGGGTCAAATCTCCACCCACATTTAAAAGTCTAGTGTGTAACATTTAGAAGGCTCTAATTGGCAGAATGAAAAATATTCATAGGTATGTTTTTTTTAGTGTATAATCACCTGAAAATAAGTTTTTGTTATCTTGAATACAGACACAAGCGGTGTTCAGTTAGTTGCAATCAGCACGTTTTGCAGTTGCTAAATCCTGTAAGAGTTGCATTAAGAACACCTTTATTGTGAGACCAATGCGTTTTGGCTTGTGTCATTATGGATCATCAACACTTAACAAAAAACAACAGAAAAAATCTAATCTTTTGTTTATAACTCATATTGCAACTTGTAAATATTCTTATATCCAAATTTTACAAACAGGGCTTTCTAAATGGATCTCGATGCTCCTGTTGTCTAAGGCTATGTTCACACTGCAAGCCGTAGTGCTCAAGTCTGATTTATTGCTCAGATTCCAGTGTGAACAGGTCACGATCCTGAAGCGACTCGTATGACGAATGACAATCTAGAGTGACATAAAAGTCACTTGAGTTTTCAGTCTGAAAACTCAGACCTGTATCTGATGTGAAGCATATATGAAAGTGGCTCAAATCACAGTGGAAAAGTTCAGATTTCATATGGTTTGTGCTGTCCACACTGTCATAGAAAACTCTGATATGAGTCACTTACGAGCAAAAAAAAAAAAAGAAGATATCTGGGCCATTTGAACGTAGTCTAAAAGTCTCTTATTTTTGATTGTGCAGTTGGGAGTCAACATCTTCCTCGCCCTCATCGTAGGAGCCATTTTCTTCGGGGTCAAAGATGATCAGAGTGGAATCCAGAACAGGTGAGAGACCTGCTGAAATACACACTGCACATGTCGTTAGAAATCCTCTGTTTTTGACAGCAGCTTAAGTAGCTGTGGTCCCATCCGAATATATTTACTGTACACAGAGCGCTGTCACTGAGGACAACAAGGAGGTCATGTGCTCTGTATTGTTTCTGGGAATTTGTGTTTTTTAGCAACCTGGGAAGAGTTTAGATAATTCTACAATGAAAAGTAACATTTATTTATTTCATTGGCTGATTCCAGTATTTTTTCAAGACTCAATATACTTAAATTTGGCTTCTTTTAGGCGAATAAATAAATAAATAAATTAATAATTAAAGGATTTATTATTTCCCCACCAAAAATGTGGTGCTGTCAGTGTGGAAAATTCTTAGAAACAGCATGTAGATTCTCTCTTCTCATGTTGGGCAATAAAATTTACTGACAATATAATTGAACTGTTATCTGAAGAAATGTAAAAAGGAATCATTCAAATATTTTTGAGACATTCTTTTAGGTTTTTACAGAAGGAGAAGACTCAGAACTTAATTATAAATTCCTGGCCAAGTCCATGTTTTTACATAATACTTTCTAATAATTAAGAATAAAAAACACTTTCATCTCCCTATCTTCCCTCTAACTGTCAAGTACCAAAAACAACAGGTTTATGTAAGACACATTCAATCAAAAGTAGTTTGTAGTTTGTGATGCACAATCAAAAGACACTGCTTGCTATTATAATCTGTACATGTGTTATAACGTGCACACAGATATCATATTAGATGTTTCTGTTAATCTAAAATATCATGTGGCTATGCAGTGAGGGCACATGTTTCCTAATAACTATTCTGTTTTCACTGCTTTTACTACAGAAGTGTGAAAAATAGAGCAATTCCTGAATGACTAATCCTCTTACCATATTTTATTGGGCACAACCTGGTACTCACAAGCCCACTGAAGCACATCTGAAATCTCAATGGTCTCCCTCTTTCTTTCTGTGCATGGTTGAGTGGAACATAAGGTCCTAATGTCATTATATTCATGGTCAATGCATTGGCAGTATGGCAGACACCAGTGTACGCGGCTTAGATGTCTCAAGTTATTCACCCCTCCCTCCTTTTCATTGGGTGCAGGGCCGCAGTGGAGTCAGTCACCTTTTAAGTCCCTTTATGTACATACGGACCACACCACACATAGCAGTGGTGCCCAACCTTAAGTGACCTCTTTTCCATCACTGAGTAAACTGACCATCCCCGACTAAGTGACATATTTTATGGATATTTCATATTATATTCAATGCATAACAATAACAGTACAGAGCAGCTGATAAATTAATAAACCCAAAACACTGAAACCAGTAACTGCAGAGTTCCTGATAATTGTAGGGAACTTTTTATACAATTCTCTCTCTGTATTATGTTTTTTTACAGACTTAAAAGTCTTCTTTTATTACAAATGTAGTGCTCTCTTCTCCCTGACGCCTGGCCATTTGGTTGTTTTAACTAAATACATGTGTTCAGGTCTTCAGAGTTTAAATCTTAAATAATAATCTAAACTTAAGAAATAATAAGTTAATTTGGTTTTCTTCACAGATTTGAATGAAATGTTGAGATAGAGGCCTATTCTATATCTTACATCCCTTCAAATCATATACATATAGTACTGTCATCTGTTTAGACTCTTTGCTGCTTCAACTTTGATTAAACATAGCATGTTTAATCAAGTTAAACTCAACAGTGGTGGAATGTAAATAATGATATAATAATACTAATACTTTTCTATGGTTTTGCACAGATTTATCGAACAACCGTTAGTGTGTAACATGTGAATTAGTGAGCTGTAGAGATGCTGGTAGGCAGGTTTTGTTGCCTTCGGATAGAGCAAGGCTAGCTGTTTCCCACTGTTTTCAGTCTTTATGCTAAGCTAAGCTAACAGGCTCTGCAGGCTTTAGCTTCATATTTACAGTACAGACAAGTTTCCTTCCTTCATTCCTTTCTGTTCTTCCTGCAGGATGGGCGCCCTCTTCTTCATCACTACCAACCAGTGTTTCAGCACCGTGTCTGCAGCTGAGCTCTTCATCACCGAGAGGAAACTGTTTGTGTATGTGATCTGTCAGGAATTCAGCCAGGACTCAAATGTGACATCTGTGTGGATAATTAGTGTGTAAAGCCAAACTTTGACTCCTGCTTGTGTTTTCTTGCTACAGGCACGAGTACATCAGTGGCTACTACAGAGTGTCGGTCTACTTCCTCTCTAAGATCCTGTCTGACATCGCTCTGCGCACCATCACCTCTGTCATCTTCAGCTGTATTGTCTACTTTATGATCGGTAAGACTCACAGATCTATAACTGAATGACTTCGCTCGTTGAGCTCTTGTCCAAATGAATGAATTTAGATGCAGAAAGCTCAGTATTTAGTCTCTAATAACAGTGTGTGTGTTTGTGTGTGTGTGTGTGTGTGTGTGTGTGTGTGTGTGTGTGTGTGTGTGTGTGTGTGTGTGTGTGTGTGTCCACTCAGGGCTCAAATTCACAGCAGCAGCCTTTCTCATCTTCACGCTGACAGTGACTCTCGTGGCCTACACAGCCACAGCCATGACCATGGCCATCTCAGCTGACCAGAGCGTCGTTGCTCTCGCCAACATCTTCATGACCATCACTTTTGTGTTCATGATGGTGAGGGGCGCAGCGACACAGAAATCAAAAGTTGTTGTTGTTGTTGTTGTGTCAGTGCATCCACAATTAATGTTTATTAGTAACACCTGTGCATTTCCTGCTGCGATATCAGAATGTCAGCTGTGAAAAAAAGCCTCTAAAGCTTCAGTTTGCATTGTGTTTGTAGATTTTCTCTGGTCTCCTGGTGAACCTTCCCACCATCATGGACTGGCTCGCTTGGCTGAAGTACTTCAGCATTCCTCGCTACGGCCTCGCAGTAAGTCAAAATTGAAAGAAGGAAGGACATGAAGAATTCCAGTAAAAGTAATAGAAAGAAGTATATGTTTATTATTTTATGGTTCTATGTAATGGAATATATATATAGTTGTAGAGAGAGGAACTTGCACATTGAATTGATACCAAAAACGGTTCTGCATGTGACCAAGAAGGTCCATATATACTGTACACAACACCTGATCGATCCAACAATTATTCTAATTTATAAACAATATTTACATTGAAATAAATATTAATATTGTAGATGTGTTGGCCAATATAAACAAAATAAACACAAAACATACAAAACTGTTTTTAAAAGGATCCCCGATTAAAGCATCAAAATGTATTCTTGGTCTTGTGGTTTAACAAACTAATGTTACTCACTAACTGCTGATAAATAAAATGGGAATTTATTTTCTGTCTTTCTAATTAATTTGTGACCAAGATATGTTTTAAATGAGACATTTTACAGTTCTCTGGTCGACAAACGTGACCTCAAACATTTGACCTCAACCTCGCATGTCTTGTTACTTATTGGGCCGATCTATACACAGATACTGTAATAAGCTGATGTCAACCTATATGGTAGATCAGCCACGGTGATTTATCAGGCTCTAATTAATATGTTCACGTTCTTGGTCACATGCATGATGAAGATATAATACCATAGTTGTTCTAAACTACTTTCTTAGGAGTGTCAAGTCAGTGTGTTTTGTCTTTGCACCTTCTTATTATTTATATTATAAGATATTTGGATGTGCATACACTAACTATAGCCTATCAATAACTATTCATAGTGACATTTGCTGTTAACACATTTTTTGATTTGACAAACAGAAACACTGCAGCCTACTACTACATAAACACTAAATGCTGCCTAAGAGTCTAAATAAAGACCGCATTGTAGGTTGTACAGTTAAAATGTCTCAGACACTCAGAGGAACCTCAGAGGACTGTGAAAGCCTCCCTTATAGAGTTAATTTGCTGTCCATATATTCCTCCATTGTTCAACCACAGATCAGCATACAGTCTTAGTCTAGAGTCTAATGCACTATACTTACTTTAATCTGCTCAGCATGCATTGAATAAGCTGTCTGTGTTCAGGCCTTGAAGATCAACGAGTTTGTGGGTTTGAAGTTCTGCGAGGAGGCTGTGATCCGAAACACCAACATGTCGGCTACAGTGAGCAACTGCAGCGTGAGCACGGTCGGCCCGACGTGAGTAGACCTCCGCACTGTATATGCTCTGGTTGTGTCTTACTGGTTTATACCGCCTCTGCTTCTGCTGCAGCTGCCTCCTTAAAAGACAAATTATGACAAATTATGACACTAAAGTTGACTTTACAAACATTTATGAACTTGTTAAATCAGCTTAAATCAGCTTAAATATTGATATTTGATCTGTAAGTGACCAGTTGGGACTTGTGTTACTTCAGATGTACAGGAGAGCAGTATCTGGACTACCTGGGAATAGAGTACACCACCTGGGGACTGTGGGAGAATCACGTGGCTTTGACCGTTATGACCTTCACGTTCCTCATCATCGCCTACCTGAAATTGCGCTACATTAAGAAATTCACTTAAATGTGTCGACTCTGCATCCTTTATTTTTCTCTTCAAGGAACCAGGCCAGTAGATATTCAACCAAAAATTCACCTTTAAAGAGCCAGTGTGTGCGATTTAGTGGAGATTACGATGCCCTCGCCTCACCCTCCTATCTATACTTAGATATTCAGTATAGGTAAAATACATACCTGAATGTAAACATCGAGTTTACTTATTAGGAAGTAATATGAGGATTTGTTCACATTGTGGAGAGAAGAGAGACGATGAGTTTCAAGATGACCACTCAGTGACAAATATGGAGGATATGTGGTGTTTTTCTTACAGGTTTATATATTAAAGTTAACTGTAGTTATTTATGAATATTTACATTTGCTGCCTTATGTTAAAATCAGACTATGCCCTTTTTTGATTTTGAAATTGAATTTTGAAATGACACTAAACTGAACCTTTGTCACTGATTATTTGTAACTGTAGTTGTTGTAGAATTATATCACCTAAGATAGTAAATATTTGTTTTTGTACTGCTCCAAAGAACATTTGTATACATACCTTTATACTCTGATACAGCCTTTTGAGAACATGTATAAACATTTTCATGTAACTTTGGTCTTTTTTTTTTCAGTGCATCCACTTAGTGTTTTAATGATGACCTACATTATTTCTTTTAAGATGAAGTTTCTAATGATCATATTCAAAAGATTACACTTTACAGGCCATTTTCCTAATAATTTCCAAGGAAGTTTTACAGAAAAAACTATGTATATACGTTTATATTGGTACACTTCAAATCAGTAGTGAGGGTAACCTTAAATATTTTGCACAGTAGGCCAGCTGAACATGCACAAATGGGAAATTCACCTATAAGTTAACATACAATTTAACATATATAAAGAATAATGTTTACAGTAATTCATGAATAATGAAGACATATTTATATGTGTTGAAATGGAGCTGTTCTTCCAAGGATATTTAATATAATAATTTAAATAATTTAAATGAATTATAAACTCAATATATATATATAATATAGTAACTGAAATGATACAAATTTGACTACCACATTGCGTTGCTCTTTTAAGGAAAACTTAAAAACTTTTAAGGATATTACCCAAAAAATAAAGTGTTACTGAATATATTAATTGTATAGTTCAACATTTGTACACCAGCACATGTATTTTTTAAATGTTTTGGTATCTCAGATTAAAAATTATATTTTATTGTGTATTATTATACACCCAAAAAATGCATTATTTCACTACATTTTATATCTCTCTGCAACTCTCAAAGAGCTCATCTTTAATAATTGAAGTATGTGGTATAAATAATCTTAATATGTTTAAGAAAGACACATTTATAGCTGTTTTCTTGTTACTTCAAATGAGTCATAATCTGAACCAGAAAAAAGCATAACAAATAAAACAAACTTATATTTTAATAACATTTTATTTTGGCAGATTAAAAAAAGAAATAGATTGTAAAAAATAAAGTAAGGCACGAGGAAAAAAATAATAAATGCATGGGTTTCCCATGAACACTAGATGCACTCCAAATCGAAGTTTGTTTTAAGTTACAATATGTATCATAAAATGATAATAAGCTATTTAATTTGAAGCTTCATTGATGTACAGAGGAGGAGTAAATATGACAGAATGTGCCACACGTGTACCTACCGTATATTAAAATGATGAAAAAATAATCAGCAAAATTAACAGTCATAGAAACTTTTTTGGTATTTGTGTAAATGCTAAGATGTATGTATACAGTAATTAAAAGCAGGTGAGCATGCTTCAAATGAAATACTAAAATCATATGCTGTGTATTCTGCTGAGTACCACTGAGTATCCTTGAAGGTTGGTATATATATATATATATATATATACATACTGTGATAAATGTAATACTGTACTGGAAATCCTTCATCATTTTTCAACCTCTTTCACACATTTTCCCTTCCTTTCATCATCCTGTTAAAGTAATACTCGATAATGGCTTTAGAAAGTTTAGTGGATACTTTAAAACGTCTCTGTGGAGAACCTCACTCACTTTCAGTGCATTTAAATATTTGAGGTGAAGATTTTGTCACCTCCTTCTTTGTAATACTTCAAGAAATTTAAACAGCTTCAATAAGGTATCTGTTCCGCAAAAAAACGCTCCCACGTCTTCAGTTACTTGTACCGCTGCTGGGAAATTTCCAATAGAGAGTTTCTTGCCAGAGTGAAATAATATTCTTTATCGAGTCTTCACACGTGGCCGCTCCCATTTGTGCTTGTGTCGAGGCCGTCGGTGGACAAGGAAGAGGACGGACGGGGCCGGGGGCCGACGGGAGTGGCTGGCTGCGGGTGGCTGACCTGTGAGACCATATCATCAGACTCCCAGAGTTCCAGTTCCTCCCTCACCAGCCTCTCCATCTGCTCTCTGTGGGCGTCTGTGTCCCGTCCCAGACGCTCATCCTGAACAAAAACAGATTAACTAGTGTGTTTACTGTTTAAGGTTATGCAGGATATCTGACAACATGCACTGTTGTAACATGGTTACTGTAAATCTGCATTTCTTCCCAAACCCACAACCTTATTATGGAAGCATGAGTTATTTATTTTAAGTGTAGTACTGATTAAAATGCTGCTTCCTGATTTTTAAAAGTGTATCTATATATGTATATAGCTCTGTTTTTGGTGTCTATTCAAAAAGAAATCTGTCTCTTTAGCTGCTAAAAGTTCGACTGTGTTCAACCAGCTAGTTGCTAACTGTGTCTGTCTGCTATTTGGTGCAGAGCAGGTAGTGTACAGAGGATTTTTAGCACTTTTGTGTGGAAAACAGCTGCCTGCTGTCATCAAATATGATGCTACAATTATGAAGTGAGCAGTGAGAGTGAACCAAAACAATAAAGTTGCCTCAAAACTAAAACAGTGCGCTAAATTATTGATAATTATCTGGAGATTTGTCATTATAACTCCTTTCACATAGAAATAGTCACGTGATCCATTATAAAAAAGTATGATTGCAGCTTTAAGTGCATGTAAATGCATCAACTGTGTATCCAAAGCATCTCACCTCCATGACTCCGTCCAGCAACCTGCCCAGCATATCTCTCCTTTTGAGTTTTGCTCTCTCCATGGCTTCCAGCTTCACGATTACAGCATCTATCTTAGATACTATGCTGCCAATAGAGTGCTCCATCCTGTCCACGCGTCTCACCAGCCTGAGAAACAGAGACGATTAGTTCCAATATTATACGGCTCCTAAATGTTACACACTGGACCTTTAATTGAGGAAACAGCTTGCAGATTAATCAATAATAAAAAACAATTGCCTGTTGCAGACTGACTTCTGTACTTCAATATCACAAAGATCTACAACCACCAAGAACTGATATCAACGTGATTTCAGTTAAAATATAGGTGTACAAGCCCCTTCCTCCACATATGAAATGCCCTGAGGCTGCCTTACATTTTATTCATCATTTATCAATTCAACTTTCATTCACCTGCACATAAGATACAGAATAAAAATAATAAAAGCCCCATACACTTGAAACTCTTCGTAGGAGACGCCCCCTGAGCTGCTGCCGCGACGACGAGAGCTGTGGCCGCTATCCTCGTCATCGTCTTCCTCCGAGTCGTCCTGGGTACGAGGGAAGCTCCGCCCACTGCTGGGTCTAGTCAGCGAATTGCGTTCCAGATCCAAGTCCTCCTAGCATACGAGCAGAAACACACTGAACATCTGCAGGTGCTGTGGCTGAGAGGACGCAATTACTAAAACCATCAACTTTTGTTTAACCAGTGGAACAAGCTGGCATCATCACTCACTCTCTCTTTCTCCAAGTCATCTCTCATTTGCTGGTGTTCATGCTCCGTCAGCTCTTGATCACCATCGTGATCGTACTTGGCGAAGATGGCCTGAATCTCTGCATCTGTGTGGCCCTTTCTGAGCAAAGAAAAAATCAAAACACACTCAGGACACGTAGCATGAATTTGATACTCACAAAACACAAACACTGAAATAATATTTCAAGGCTTTCTGCATCATTTGAGGTTTTGTTCACCCTTTAAGATCCTGGCGGAGTTCGTCAAGGTTCAGTTTGCCCCCGGCCTGACGCAAACTGTCGGAGATGTCGTCTACTGCCGTCTTCTTCAGTCTCATCTTCATCAAAGCTTTGTTACAACCCTGAGGGAGAGAAATTACATTTGGACTTACCTAAACATGTCAGTTGCATAATGTTGTTATGTGATAGGTAGCCCAGACAAGAATAAAAACACATACTGTGATTGTTCGTAACACAATTTGTCTCCCAAACTTACAGTACATGCACTATACTGTAGTTCTACCATTGCTTCAAAACAAGAAAAGCCTGATAAACTCCACTGTGATTAGCTCACAGAAAATGCCCTATTTCTGCCTTCTACTCTATACTTTGCATTCCTGCTTTGGTTCAGAAACAGGTTAAAATGTGCAAGACATCATCTGTCAGAGCTTTTAGACTGGGACGCACTGCAGCGAGGCCTGATATCTAGTGTAGGTTATACAGTTCAAGTCAAGAAAGGGTCTCCCATTCTAGGGAGCAATGACTGACATTTTAGACATGTACATGTATTATACATGATTTATTACAGGTATTACACAAAGATGTTCCCAAGATCAGATACTACCTACAGGAAGTTACACTGTATCACATGTCTGGAGGTGACAACCTTTAGTACCATTCTGCTGTGCTACCTGAAACAATCAGTTTCCAGCAGTGATTCATAGTGGAGGCACTCCACGGACTCCTTTCTTAAGGGAAACTCTGAGTCATCCATGTCTCATTTTTTTCTAACACCTCATCTTATCTCTAAAAATACACAACCAGACCCAGGAATTGCTATGTTTGGAGTAGCTTCTGGAGAAAAAGCACTTTCTGACATACACCCTGGTGTGCTCTTAGCTTTTCCGCCGTTATTGGCAGTGTTTATTTAATGAAACTCAGCCTAGACAAAATAATTGATACTTGTAGTTAAATACCTTCTTAATGAGGTCAGTCATTTCCATCTCAGACCTCTGCTGGGACATGTCAGCCTTCACCTCAGAGTACGTGTCATTGATGATGGCCAGGAACATGTTCTTTACAGAAAGAATGAGAAAAGTGACGTTAGTGAAGGGTCAACAACATGAACAAACTTACTACTTAAACAGGTGTGACTACGCTACTCACCATGAGAATAAAGAAAATGAAGAAGACAAACGTTGTAAAGTAGATGGGTCCAAGCACTGGATTCGCCTCCTCTATTTCTGAGAACTCAAAGTCTCCCAGAATGATACGGAACTGGGTGAAACTACACAAACAGAAAAACATTTCAAACATTTTTAAACAAGTTGGAGTTGTTAGAGGTATTTGAACATTTATACTTTAACTGCTCTTACATGCTGGCTTGGAAAGTGCTGAAATCGTTGACTTGGGTTCCAAACACCAAGTAGGCTAGCTGAGCATACGCCAAGAAGATGATGAAGAACATGATGGCAAAACCCACAAGGTCCTTAGCACAGCGAGACATAGTGCTGGAAAGCTGACTCATGGTCTTATTGAAGTTGATGAACTTAAAAAGCTGAGAGGATGAGAGAAATTATTAATCGTAAGTGTCCACTATGGTAGTTTTGGACTCCTTATGAACCAAAGGGATAAAAGATTTATACCTTGACCCAGGAAAAAAAGACAATGATTGCAGCCACGTTGTTGAACTGGACCTGCAGGTTGGCCAAAGACTCAAAGTTGGGGTGAGCAGTGTGGTTCTCCAACAGGCCTTTGAGAAGATTGCCAACCATGGCTGTTCTGGTTATGTTCATGATTATAGCAACAACACTCAACTGAAAAAAGAGCAGAAAGAGCAAACAATAAAGTCAGTCAATCTTGTTAAAATAACTATTAAAATCACTTCAATAATCCCAAATACGACTTTTATACACACCGCGACAATGAGAACATCCAGGCAGTTCCACAGGCTCTTGAAGTAATGCAGGCGGTGGATGCGGATCTCCAGCACCTCCTCCACCACGTAGTAGAGGATGAAGAGGCAGAATGCCACCTCACACAGACCCACAAAGTAGTCCCAGCTGGACACATATCGTATCAGACGCACTGTTTGGAACTGCCAGGAGGTCACCACCCCACCAGTAGCAGGGAACTCCACCAACAGCCTGACAAATACATCAAATTATATTCACTGTTAGTATTCACACAATCGTAGTTACAAGCTGGTACCGTTATACTGCAGACGCACACTACATATTGCATATAGTGTATATATTTTTCATTATAATCTTATATTTTCTATTATATCTTATTATATTCTTATTTTGTGATTCTTTATAGTACTTATACACTTCGGTACTTTTTGCACTACATTCCCCCAATGCTGCTGTGTCAATAAATAAATAAAATAATGGGATCAACAAAGGAACATCTTATCTTATCTTATCTTAAATAAAGCACAAATATGTAATTTTCAAAAGTGACGGCTTTCAACTAATTGATTTGTAGTCTGCCAGAAATTTGAAAGAAATTTTGATAATCAACTAATCATTTAAGTAACTTATGAGGCAAAATTTTCAAACATTCACTGCTTCAGATTGCTCAATTGTGGAGATTTGTGCCTTTTCTCTGTTTTATATCATTATAAACTGAATATTTTTATTTAGAAATGTTTGTCAGACAGAAGAAGCAATAGGAAGATGTCATCTTGGGCCCTTAGAACTTGTCTTCCCAGATAATCATAGAATCAGTGGAAAGATTAGCAACAGATTTATGAGTAATGAGGAGCCAGGACGATACCCACAATACCTCTTTTTAACTAATTCAAATGTTTCAACTTCAAAGTTTGAAAAAGGTGAGCACACTGGAAGTTCCTTTAGAAAATGACACTGTAAATGGATATGTAATGACTGATGATTCTAACCTGGCGATGCAGAAGAGGTTGATGTTCCCATTGTAGACAGAGAAGTCGAGAATCACCGCTCTGGTTCCTCTGTCCAGCCACAGGTGGTCTTTGAGAAACTGCAGTTGCATTGCTGACTCCTCTTTCGTGCGAGACAGGTCTTGGTAGTAGCCTCCACCTCCATATTTAGATACTTGACCCCAATAACTGCTTCCATTCATCTCACTCTCTGTTGCATACACCCATCTAAGAGACACCAGAAAGAAAAGAGTATGAATAGTACGTATCTGTTAGTGTAATTAATATGACACAGCTATATAGTCTGCTTTCGGACTTACGCAGTTCCATTCTCGGGGCCAAAGGAGGTGGTGTCCTCATTGGCTGGGGTGTACATGTTGTAGCAGTCCGGAACCTCATCTCTCAGGTCTTCGTGGACGGAGCAGGACTCATTGCGGACTTTTATCTGCCGAAGCCGGGGCACCCCGAGGAGGAGGTTCTCATAGTAGATGAGACTCTGATTCTCTGGCAGGCTCTTGTTATTGTACCACACCTCCCAGTACATGCCATTGAGGAAAGGTCCTTCTGTGAACTATGAGTGAAGAACAGTCAGGAGATATTCAGACATGAGAAACATCCTAAAGGTTATGTGATTGTTGAAAGTTGTTGAAAATTACAATTGTGAACTGCTTTTCCTATGTCTGTTTGCATGAAAAAGCACTAATCTACTCTATTTGATGGCATTATAAACTCAGAGATTCCTAAACCTTTGCCCTGATGACTAAAATTTTTTTTTTATTCAAAGGAATAGTTTGACATTTGGGGAAATTATTAAATTAGTCTTTTTCTTGCCAAGTTACACAGGAACATCTTACTCTCACTTCTGCACAGTAAATATGAAGCAATTCATAGAACTGGTCTGGTTCTGTCTGAAGGTAAAACATCTACCTAATAGCACCTCTGAGTCTCACTAATTGGTTGGTGGTAGGCGGATTTTGCAACCTTTGAGCAGAGCCAGGTCAGGTATTGCATCTTTATGCTAAGTTAAGCTAACTGCTGGATGTAGCCTTATATTTAAAAGACGGATATGACAATGGTATCAATTTTCTAACTCAGGGCAAAAAAATGAATTAGTGTATTTCCTAAAATGTCGAACTAACCTAAGGCTCTCTTTCCGAAAATGTAACGCGATAATAAAAAATGACAGCAAAAATTAAAAATACATTTTATTTTGCCTCACAAAAGATGAATGAAAGATGAGTTTTGCCTTTTACCTTCCAGAAATCCTCCATGGTAGAGAGGCTTCTAAAAGTGGAGGGGTCGCCGGCAGACAGCGGCGAGTCCAGGAAAAGCTGAGACATGACTTTGGTGTAGTAGTACATATTGGCACTCACCATCCCATAGGTCACTGCAGAGCAAATCACAATTTAGCTTAAGTGATGTTCCTATTAGCAATAGCGTCATAACAAGCCCTTGTTAAAATGCAGAAGGACAAAGAAGAGAATTGAGTGAATGCTTTTTGTGTACATAAATGTGTTTACATCCAGTGTGACCCTGCAAAGACTTGACAAAAATCTGGTTAAACTTGATTTTGTTTTACCTATACATTAATATTCTCTGTAGCATTCAGTATTCATCAGGGAGTAGCTCTGGAAACTGCTCCTAATAGTCAAGCTCTGCCTGGCAGAAAACGCCTGAATCCAGTCTGCCAGGAAGTCATTTCCTGGTCCACCCTAAACCACAGTTTGGCATTTTCATTGCAGCAAAAACAGGGCAGAGAAGCTTCACCATTAGTCTTCTCATCACACACATTTTATATGTGGGATTTCCATCGATTTACATCTCAAAATGCGAATTTAAACCCGCTGACAACTGTCAGAGATTAGATTTTCAGCTGCCAAAACCATTACTTCATTTCACTGTGAGCCTGGAAAATAACTTTTCAGCTACAAGAAAAGGTGCCCAGGCCAGCCTGGATAGATCTTGCAACTGCGACATGATTAGTGAGAATGACCATTTTTGCATCAAAATTTTCCTTTTTTACTGAAAAAAACAAACATGATGTGATATTTGTTTGGGTCTGTACCAAACAAACATGTTTACTTACATCGGGAGAACATTTATAGGCCAGGGCATCTCTGCAGCACTAAAATACTTCATTTTAATGCTGTTTGTAACATTTTATCTGTATTAAACTAACTGTAGCTGCTGCGATTTGGATATTGCACTTGGCCATATTGCGATTTCGATAATATTTCAAGTAATTGTGCAACTCTAGAAAACAGTAATTACTGCAAAAACCTGATTAAAATGTGTATGTAGGATGGGACTGGGACACGGTTTAAGACTGGAAGATGGGTTATGTTATAACAGGGCTTTGTAGCACATGATGGGGCTCCGCTAGCACTTTTCCCCTATGATGGTTACTTACTTGATGTGCAGGTAGTCCAATTGAGTCAAAATCAACATTAACATCAGTTTAGATGAAAAATGCCTTGACAGAAACCAGACTGCTGTTCAGTTTATTTCTCACCAGTCAGGCTAACAACTTCAGTTATTACAGATGAGTGATTGAGGGCCCAACCTAGTGCATAAATACGTGTTAAATGTAATTTTTTACAGGAGTGTTTACTTACAGATACAAATAGTGATGAGGAATGCGATATATGTGAGCATCTCCCTCAGTACGTTCCTGAGGTACCTTTCTCGACTGCTGTCACTGTCCTCCATCAGCTCTGTGCCCCACAGAACTGCAAAGAAAAACAGCAATTCAAGAGGACATCAGCATATGTGAAGCATATAGAGAGACATGATTACATAAATACTGCAGTCAAACTTACAGTATGTTCTGCCTTAGTCTCAGCTATGGAGCTGGAAAGAGCAGAAGTGCATTGGCTACACAAATATAACAGACCCCATTTGATGTATTTTGTCCACCTTAAAACAATGTTTTATGAGTTAATGAGATATTTTAATAAGGGAGCTTATTCTGTTTGTTTGTGTTTTTCTCTTGATGTCATTTAGGATGTCGCTTTATTGTTTTCTCATCTTATATTACAAGAATTTGTTTTACTGGTTGTATTGTGGTCCAGTTAATGGCTTTGTTACATGTGAGTTATCCATTTGGTTTGATGTCATTTACATAATTGTTTTTATGGGTTATAATATAGGAAAATTAGGACTTCAAATCAGTGACCTAACTAAATACAAATCTAAATTAATGGCTTACTGTTAACTTTGGTATGTTTGATCAACTCTACAGCTATAACCCATTTTTAGTCATTTTTAATACATTACCATGCTGTCACTGATCTGTATTAAATTAATTAACTATTCAATAATATAGTTCATCATGCTGACAAGTTTAAAATAAGATAAGATAGGAAGTTACACTTTATTGATCTCACACTGGGTAAATTCACTTACTACAGCATCTCCAGATACGACACAAAATAAACATGAAATAAAAAAACCTAATTGAAAAAGATGTAGCTAATAGAAATAGAAAATAAGAATAAGAGTTACACAGCTTCTTACTGAATTACAAAGAGAGAGACTAACTTCTGATCTTTTGCAGTATCTGCTTCATACAGCTGCGGTGCTGATGCCTGTCCTGCTGCTGGGCATCCACGGTCGGGGTCGGGTACAGTCCTCCCCGGGGGATGTGGGTGCTGCTGCCCCCGCCGGTGTAGCTGCCCAGGCCGCTGCTGCAGCTGCTGCTGGAGGCCGTGGACACTGACCTCCTCCCGGGACTCGCTGGAGGCCAGTCTGCTTCCATAATCTCATCCTCAGGCTCAAAACCCGGGTTATCCCGACTCCATGCTTGTCTCGACGGAGGGGACGGGGTGCCTATTACCCCTCCGAGACCCAGGTCTTGATGCTGGATGTTCTCCATCTCTATCCCTTCGCTTGAGTCCAGCCTGTGCGGCAACCTGCCAGCCTGGCTCTGCGGTAGCTGCTGCGGGCGGACTCGGGATGAACTCATGGTCCAGTTAGTTAAGTTAAATGAGTTAGCTAATAGGTATGTTTTTCATCTGGTGCGGGGCATTTGGAAAAAAAAAAAAAAGTTAAACTTTATTTAAAAACGCAACAAAAAACATGAACTGATAAACGTTTATAACGGTTGAAGCATTTCTAGCTCAAGTGTTAAAACGCCTTTTAAAAGCCACCGCAGACAGTTTTGGGAAAGTTACTCTGATAATTAACTAAATAAACTATATAAGTTACAAGAAACGTTACAGGGTGTGTAAAAGTCAAACGTTTTTAAATAACGTTATCCTTCTCCTCGTAGACAGTGTTAGTAGTTTCCACTCTCACCGAACCGTTATGAAAACTTTTCCTTGAGAAAAACCTCAAGCGATTCCTTCTTCAGTTCCCGTCTCAAAAACAATGTCCGTCGTTGTAAAGCGATGCCTTTAAAGTGTTTAAAGTTGTTACCTATCTAGCTATTTTCAAGAAACTGACGACCGCATAGAAAAAATGCCGTGTTTATGTGAAACAAGAGAGATACTTTTCTTGCCCCAGGACAGCCATCTTGTTCTTCAACTGTTCCCCTCAAAAAAATCCTCTCATTCTCATTTGTTCGGGACTCAGATTACATTAGAAGTCATGGCGTCGCAATAAAGGATGGAAAAATGTTTTTCTCTTTGCTGAAATATCCATTGGAGACACAACTTTTTATAAAATGTCGTCTTTAATTTCAGTTTTCAGTTTGTAAAGATTGGACTGGTTTGGGATTATTTTAGCTGAAAGATCAGAATTACCCAAAGTGATTCATTTTCCTTGAAAGCTTTTTTTTTAAAAATAGCTTTTTGAGTCATTTAATACGACCTCCCCAAAAAAAAACCCAATTTATTTTAAATGTTTAATACAGTATTTAGATAAATATATACATTAGGGTTAACGTTACATAATCTCTCTGTGTTTGGGTGAGCGGTTGCTATGACGACAAGGCTCATTGTCAAGAGGCCTGTCAAACTCATTTGGACCTGTAGGCCTGTAACTGTAACCTGTATATATTGTTCAACCCATCCTCTATCAAGCAGCTGAGCTCTAATACTAAATCTTAGCATTGCAATAGGGCAATGTGCAATAAATAGACCAGCACTTTAGCACTTAGCACTTTAATTCTTATAGTTTCTTACAGTCTCTTTGCTGTAATGTCAGCGTTAAAAGTATAGTCCATGTGTCTTTTAAGATGTTTCATGTTGATTTTGTGGTGGTTTTCTGATGTATGTTTGTTGTGAAGCAACAGATTGTTGCACTGTGCCCGAGTCAAATTTCAATACAGTTTATTCCATTGTATTAAAGGCATTGTATTCTATCTGAATAAAGCATCAAAGCTCATCAAAGTTAATTTACCATCTCATTTATCAGACTGTTAAAATGCCATTAACCATAACTAATACTACTAATAATTAAGTTGCTTGTAAATATTGTAGTATTTAATTTAGTATTAAATATTTAATGTAATATTTCCATTTTATGTTACTTTATACTTTTACTCCATTACACTTTGGAGGCAAATACTAGTATTGTACTTTTCACAACACAATATTTATTTTAACAGCTTACTTACCAGCTATGTAGAGTCAAATTATGAATACAAATTATACATATATATAATACATAGAAATCATCCTCACCTATACCAGCTTAAACCAAACAAAATAAAATTTCTATAAACCCTACACTCATTTCATTAAAATATCAGTTGTAAGTTATATCACGATCATTAGTTTTTTCCCCATATTTGACTCTTCATTTTTATCAGAGCTACAAAATCCATTAACTAACATTTGTTTATGTCAGTTAATGGATATGTTTAGGTATTCATATTTGGGAATTTATATTTAAATAATGAAAAAAAACTGCATTTTATGTTATCAAAATGATGGTGTATAAATTGTCTGCTTTATAAGACATAGAGCTTGTTTGACCACTTGGTGGCGCACAATATCCACACTTGTTAAAGCTGGACCTACACCAGTGTCATGCCTATCAGGAATGCATCCCCATTGTGAAATGTATTTAAATTTGTATCAAAGCACAGTTCTCGTTTGACACTACATTTACTGCATATCAAACAATGCAATAGGGCAGCAGGCTTTGTACAATAGCTGACCCTCACTGTGGCCTCCTGGGAGTGACTGAAGTTTCACAGTGTCATTGTTATACTGCAGACATTTTCCTAATCAATGTGTTATCTGTAAGATTTGTTTTTGGGGTGAAATTAGGATTATTTATTATCATTTATTACAGCTTTAAGACTTAAGGTCAGTTCCCATATATGGGTCAAATTGTCTTGTTTGTGTTGTTCACACTTTGATAACGAAGAGCCATATTCCTCCTTGGTTTATTCTGAAATTTATTCTATTATAGGCAGTTTAGCTTCTTACAATGACAGTTTTGCCTGGGCCTTAAAATGTAAGCAAGTTGTGCTTATTGCAAGTGATGAAAACTCAGTTATTTAAGATGGACTTTCTTAAAATAAGTATTTTCGTCACTTTATTGACCTGAATTTGTGAGAAGTTGTGCAAGTGGTCTGTCTCTTAAAATAAGGAAAATAATCTTGTTCCTCTACTGGGATATTATGCAAACGATTATTGTAACTTGTTACTGATTAAATCTAGCTCAAAACCAGCTGCAATATCTTATTAAGACAAAAGTTAGATATATTTCTTTAAAACAAGATTACTTTTCTAATACAAAACATGCTTGACAAGATTAATTTTCTTTAAAGACAAAAAAAAGACTGCAAGATGCAAGTCAATAGCATGTATCATAAGATCCACCTGCCTCGTATTTTTACACACCTTGAGTTTGCAATGCAGACTTCCACACTCAAACCAAATCTAAGATAACCCTAATGACATCACCAGGTTTATATATTTTTTTACACCTCACAAAGGTGACATTATGTTTTTTGTGTGTGTGTGTGTGTGTGTGTGTGTGTGTGTGTGTGTGTGTGTGTGTTAAGGGATATGGGAGTTCCAGTCGAGCTAAAAGTCTCAGAAGAATGATAAGAAGTAACATGCAGGACAACCTGAGTGATTATTAATAGTCAAGCATGGTTTTGGCACAGCTAGCAGAAAGTTGAGGGGCGTGGTTATTTGTTTTGCGTCATAATTCATGTTGCCTAGTGTAAACAGTCCATTGGTTGAATCTTGGTGATGGGGGTTCCCTGCCCCAGATTGCAGGGGTAAAACAATAAATAGAAGCTATCACTTTAAATCTTCAATCTCTGGTACAGCAGAGATCATAAGTTGTTAGTTAGTGGAGCGTGGGAAATATTAAAACATACGCCTGGGATACTCGGTATTTCAGCACAGTTTACAGTCAGTTACTCGTAGTTATTTATTACAAATAATTCTGTCTACATAGATAGGTCTTTCATAAGGTAAGTTAGCCATCCTCCAAGCTAAGTCAGCTAATATATGAGACCGCTGACATGCTAACCGTACCAGCTAATGTTAGCTGCATTGTCTGGTGAAAACCACGACTTCTCGGTGCTCCGACTGTAACGACTCAAAGTTGTCAAGTAGGTGTGTCGCTACGGTACAAATACCCCCATTTTAGCTAACGAGTAAAAAAAAAAAAAAAAACGATGCGTATCAACTAAATTAGTCAAATTAGTCTTCCTTTGTTTTCTTAGAGCTAGCGTAGCAGCGGACTCATTGATGAGGTCTCGACGGGCTGTGTGAGAGTTTGGGGGTTAATTTATTTTAAAGTTTGAGTTAAAGCTCCTTACATCGGGTTGTAATCGATCGCGATACAATCGGTTATAGATTAGTAGTTGATGTTAATTCCCAGAGCCTCACTGGGACAACATGGATGTAGTTTATCGGCGCACTACAATGGCTGTTGCCGGGCTCAACGTCATGTCTGCTGGATGGGTTTCCCCCCGCACCGCACCGCACCGCTTACAATCAACGTGCGGGTTGTATGCGTGAGAGTTAACGTTACAGCAAACTAACATCTTGACAGTTGTCTGTTTTTTCTGTGTTGAGCCGAAAGCGTGTTGCTGTCGCACATTGTGAGAAAGTGATCACCGGCTGGAGGAGAAAAAAAACACACACAAAAAAAAAACGACGACGCCACAAGTTAGCTCAGGGCTAACGTTAGCTAGCTCGGCGCTGCTCTTTTCTGTTTGCCGGGCTAGCTGGCTAGCTTAGCCATCTAAGATGACAGCGAAGAGGCCGTCAGTTTTATAATTAATATCTCTGCAGTTGTTTTTACAGTCTGGATAACGTTGATCTGGCTGACAGTGTGGACGTAAAGTACTCCGGACATTTCTGGAATGAGCACATGTGATGCTAGTTAGGGATCTGTCACGTTTTGTGGCTAATCAACATGCGACAAATGGCAGAGTGTTGTTAGCGTGGACATGAAAAGGCCGCACTCATACAGTAGGCCACTTGTCTACAAAGGGATGCACAGAGGTTTATAACACATGTATGTGATGTGTCGTGTTTAGAAGAAGGTTTTAATTGTGGTACAGTTCGTTTTCTCCCGCGTCAGTCTCTTCCTTTTTTATATATCTACAGTCGGTTTCCCTCTTTGTCTCTTTGGATGAACGTGATGGCGCAGTTGAATGTTAGCTGGTGTGTTAGCCAGCCAGCTAAACAGTCAGCTGTCGTGGTTGTACCATAGGATAGATGTGGGTCACTTGAAATATTGGCCTAATGAAAGTGAAACGTTGTCCTCTTTTATAAGGAAACGTCTGAATTCACCTATTGTACTTTCTGTCCTGGCTGCTCAAACACACCTATGTTGTTTACCTGAGGCGCAATAAACGTTAATGTGTGTTCAAATGGGCTTCCTTAAAATTGTCTGACTTTAAACAATTCATGTAGCAGTTCAACTGAGGCTTTTTTCCCCCCCCAAAGTCATTGTTTCCTACAGTCTGTTGCCAATTCATTTGGTACCCCATCCTAAACTACTGCAGCCAAATACAAAAGCTCTGCAATAAAGCCAACCTTTCTGGAAGTTAAAATGTTCACCGTTTAAGTCATTTTTGAGGCTATAGTAGTGTTTTGGGTATGATTGAATCGTATTTGTTTTAATATAATGCAGTATAATTCACTAAACTAGAGCCTCCAAAATGAACCACACTGTTTGATGATCACCTCACTAAAACACTGAACATTAACTAAATAAAATAAAACCTAAATAACCTTCATGAAAGCAAGATTTATTGCAGGGCTGCAGTATTAGACTGCATTATTTTTGTACCTGATAAACTGCCAACTGACTGTATACATGTGTGTATATGTGTGTGATAACCCCTACTTGTAGATGGCGTTATTACAATTAAACCTTTTTGTTTATTTTCTGTTTCAGCACTTAATATTGTTTACCAAAGAAATGGTGATGGAGAAGCCAAGTCCCCTGCTTGTAGGGCGGGAGTTTGTGAGGCAGTATTACACACTCTTAAACAAGGCACCAGATTTCCTGCACAGGTAATCATTTAAATTTCATGTGGTAAAGTTAATTCTGTTGGTGTTGGTAATACTCTGTTTAACTGCCTGTCATGTTGTTGTGCCATTAGGTTTTATGGGAG